AAAGAATATTTATTCATTCCTCAAGGTTGCAGCAAAAAAAAAATTCGGAACATCGAACACTGAAGGCTGTCTTCCCGTAAACCCATCGGAGAAATATTCTCATTAAAACCCTTTGCACCAGGTTCAAGCTAAAGCAATCTACACACTCGGCAAGTTATTTTAATATCATGTTTCACTGACACGCATGGTGGTCCGATTCAGTTGGATAGAGAAGCATAACTCAAGGCAGACAGGAATTTCAATTTCAGGCCAAGTTTTTATCCTTTTCTGTAACCTAATTGTGCCACCTAGTTAGTTAGGAATGTGGCTCCACGAACCCCGAGAAGATCCCGATTATTTCACTAAAAAATGCATGAATTCTGCGATCGATCTACACGCTGCCCTTCATGCATATAACATATGGTACTCTTCCCTTTGTCTTTCCCCTTTGTCTATGACTAACATCAGTCTTCTGGAAATGTGTCTAGAGTTCCCCTTTCCGGTCTAAATCCTCTCAGAGGAATCATCTGAGCCCAATCCCGCTAACCTATACGAGTTTTGATTTTTCCCTCATTATTACCTGACCTCCATCTGACGGAGGGAAGCATTACATTTTTCATGCTCAGAATGATCTGAATGCCAGAAAAAAAAAGACTTCTCACCATTGTCAACTTACTCCAGCAACGTGTGTGGATGCAGGACAATACCCCCCTCACCTCCCCCCTTGGGGAGGGGGAGGGGGGAGGAAAGGAAGGGGAATTCCAGAAGTAAGGAGTCATCGCGGAACTCATTCTCTCCCTTCCTCCTCCTCGTCAAATGCGACACCGTTTCCCCTCTCTCCAAATCAGGTTTGTCAGACGTTTTTCTTTTCTCGGCTTGTTGGGAAAAAAAAACGGTGTCGCAATTGTCGCCCAATCGTAAAGCAAATCTAGATTCTCTTCCCAACAAATTCAAAATAACCATATTATATGCATTGGGATGCCCGATCAACCATGACCCAAAAATGACAGAGACCGAGACTAAACGAGAATTTTCAGCGCCTTCCCTTACGATGACTGTCTTAGGGCCATGGAACGAAAGCTCGAACGAAGTCATCGACAATGGAAAAGCTAGCTTCACCATATCAATCAATAACAAGTTTGGAATGCCTTCCAAGTATTTGCGAAATTCTGAAAAGGGTGCAGGAATGATGACCAGAGATCGTTCCGTTACCCCGATTAACTATTGTTTTCTAAATCTGCGCTCTGACAAGCACCGGGAATCGTTGTATTATCCCTTGGAGTGCCCGTGTCGATCGAAAGTGCATAATTTTAGACTGGTCCGGTATCATTCAGTAAGACCTCTCGCAGAAGAGGCAGAATTTTTGCCGATTCCTTGTGATGAACCGTTCCTCGAAAACTGGGACGTTACGCATTTCCGGTTCTGTAGCGTCGGGAGTAGGTCTGCGTGGCACGGCGAGATGCTAGTTCACGAGTTCAATAATCGCTGCTGTTGCTTCCCTTCCGCAAGAGGTTTCCTTTGCAGGTCGAGGAGGAATCTAAAAATATGGGTCAGATCCTAGGTTGGAGTTGCAGCAACTGTAACCTCTGAGCTTGTACTAGGGCATGATCGAGGTGATCGTGAAGCCGTCTCAAGCCATCAAACCGGGAGGCCAAAAGTGAATTCATGAATTTAGTAGCCGTCTGACTCGAGATCTGCATCGGGGCACACGATTGGGGAAAGAAAAGCCTGAGGGTCGATTCGCATTATTCCACGCTTTCTCCGTCGTGCATGGTTCTCCCCTTAAATTCCACTAGCCATGTCTGATTTTCGTGCGTCGATTACACGGTTCAACGAGATTAATAAAACATATTATTCACAAAACAGAACTCGAATGGGAGAATCACGGGCGCGTGAAGATGATGGTTAAATGAAACGTTTGAGACTAAGCACAGTTCGTCCGAGAGGGAGACGTGGAGATAAGGATAGAAGTTCACCTATTGCGGAGCCGGCAGACAACGGACTGGATCTTTACGCAGCGATCAGTCATTCGATCACGGAGGGGAACGACAGCGACTGAAGGGGGAGTATCGTTCGATTTCACATTAAGGAGTGTGGAAGATGGAGAACCAACACAGGCTGTGTGTGAGAAAGGAAAAGCCAGGAAAACTGGTAGACAGAGATAGGTCAACATGGAAGTTCTGTCTGGGGAAGAATACTCGTATGGTAGGAGAGGAGGTCACGAGGGCATACGTCGCCTGCACTGTCCCACCACATTCAATGATATGTATAGGCATGTTCAGCCCTGTCACTCGTGCACTAATTACGCCTATTATGGGAATATGTAGAATTTCTATTACCACACGGACGAGGACGAGTAACGTTAGGCGTCACATCCGCGAGGACACGTGGGACGCCATGATGATGTCACTGATTTTCAGTGATGGATCCATCAACCGTGGTGAGAAATAGGATATTAATTTTCTCACACTTGACAGCTGCAACTGCTTTCACTTCACCTTATTGCAATAGCATATCAAAAATATGCTCATCATGACGCGGGAATGAGAGTCAGGAACCGACTTAAAAGCAGAACCTCCAACGTCCTCGAAATATGAAAACTGCCAACCGTGGCCATGAGGGCTAGACGTTAGGCTATATCTTCTCGTGATCTAATGTCCCTTACTAGTACGGAACTGTAGATCGCTAAGAACTCCAAGGTCAATTTTTTTTTTTTTTACTGCCGGGAGTCGGATCTTTCTCTAAGGGTTGTCCAACGGAAGAAAAATCATTACTTGGATACCACTCTCATGAGCCCGGAATGAGCTCTTCGATTTCTCCATACCTTCAGATAAAAAACTTACAATTCATTTGTGGCGCTTTCTGTATCGATAGGCATGCAATGTGTCGAGTTTCATTCCTCAGAGATTCCTCCTCAGAAAGGAATATGAGAATACGATTTTTTTTTCGATGATAGGGAACAGAGTGCAAAAAGGGAATAGGTGCTATAGTATCTATTAATTCACATTCAGAACTGGATTCTTTACAAACATTCTTCTGCAGTTTTTGTGGTTGAAGTTTTACAATTTTATGACATTGTAATATACTATGACATTTTATGACATCTCTTGACAACTGGCAAAATCGTGTTTTTATTTTCTTTGAGCGAAGCAAAACGCCACTTGATATTGCTAAATTATCCAGCTAACCGACAGAATTCCTTCTTCTCGCGCCTTCGGCCTCCTAGGTGAATATCTTCCAATCCATGTCCTCTGGGGGAACGCGAGCGTCCACCTCCCATCCCCTGGGGAGAACGCGAGCGTCCACCTCCTGTCCCCCGGGGGAACGCGAGCGTTTACTTCCTGCTCCCGGGGGGATGCGAGCGTCCCCCCGTGATACACCTGTAATCAACCTGCTGTCCACCCCCGGTGGATGCAGGTGGATTACAGGTGGACGTTTTGTAATGGTCGTGTGGAACTACTCCACTCAATTTTCACGTGCAGTTCAGCAAATTCACAGGAGAAATATCTAAGACGTTTATGAAATATCACCACCCCCCTTGCAAGACTTTGACCTTAGAAGAGAGTTTCGGCGATGGTTTTAAGAGCTCTACGACGACTTGAAATCAGGTGGCCTCCCTGAACCTCAATTCTCGCAGGTTCAAGGACGACGTGGAAGTCATATCAGAAGAAATTTCGTATAAAACTGCCTCAAAGCATGAAAAATGTGTAGGAAGAACACCAATATCATTACGGTATCCATGACTTGGGTCAACAAATGAGAGCCTGTTGAACACGCATCTGCTTGAATTGCTGTCAAAAACCAACTTTTTCCAATGCTTGTGTAGGACAGGGCTGAGAGATGGATGGTATAAATCCAAGAGGCGAACATATGGAAGAAGCTGGGGTTTCAGGGTTTTTTTTTAGAGAGAGCAAGTCACATTTCTTTCTGAGGATCCTACATTCTGTCTTGGCAATGCATAATTAGTCTTCGACTTGATCGAAGGGAGAGTTTGACACGCCCGAATCCATCGGTTTTCCGTTCTTCCAGTTGGGTCTGATTCTCTAGTCGAGCGCCCAGCCTGTTCCGTGCGAAAGGACGTGGCTGAGTTCAAGAAAATCCTCAGTGAAGGTTCCCCTCAGGAATCGACGATAAATACTTTGGAAGTACGTATATTTACAAATTTAAACCCACAAACTCTGAAAAAAATAGATCAAAAGTATTTGTTTGTTTTAGCCTCAAATGACGGGAAAGAGTCGGAAAGGGTCACGTGAGTCCTTAGAAAATTGTTGGAGTACGTATTACTTCGTACCTGGATCTTAGTAAGAGGGGCGTTGAAAAAAGTAGCAATCAAAGCCGTACAGCACCATCATCTTTCCAGGAGCAGCACTATAATACTGAATGCTTCAATAACATCCTTCACTACTTTAATGGCATACAACTGTATGCGAAATTTCAAGATTTCACCTTCTAAACACCTTTTCTAAATACGTGTACAGTTACGTCAATCAGCTGATTCCATGCTGCTGATTTCTCGAAAGTGGAATAAACGACTGTCCCTCTCGTTGCACACGCCTGTGCTTCCAAGGATGGGCGGGCCCTCCAATGCCTTCTTGAGTATTCATGAATACGAGAAGCATTATCATCTTCGTGAGCAAATAATTTCATTTGCACCTTTTGCTCCTTTTGGAAATATTAGCGATGTTTTATCGATTTATTCAACCAACGGTAATAACTGCCAGTACCTAAGAAAGCCATAACGGAGCTTCAATGTTTTGCACTAGTGCAAAATAAGCGTGTATTGTTTTATTTTCTATGCTTATTTGTTGATTTATTTAAAAAAAAATTTTTTTTTTTACAAAGGAATGCAATATTGCTGGAATGATAAAGAAGAGGTACAGCAACGCAATGCTTGAAGTATATAGATTTATTGTTGCATAATGAATGTCAAAAATCTTAGGGTGAGGTGCAAATAGTGGGGAGATGAATAAATATACATAAGATTCATATGCGGAGATGCAAAAATGGGGCTACAGATTACCCAATTCTTCTTCGAAAAACAGATGATCCTCGTGAGCAAGCTTGAAACTGTACCGATTCTGGAGATTGGTCGGAGCTGCTGGAGCAGGTGCCACTTGAACATTATTCCTTCTCAGTAATCGGAAAAGGGTTGCCTTCTCCAAAACGGCTGGAACACCAGGAGGAATGGGCGTCACCACCGGATCTGGCATCTGTAGGGTTTAGAAGCATCCAAATGCAATCATATCTCTGAATGAGAAATAGGTCAATTGGTCACCTTAGACCCGATCTGGTTAGGCGTGTTTATATGCGTGGTGTTTGCTACCTGTTCCATCGGTCGAGGAATACTGAATTTGATTGCTTGAGAGCGGTGAAATTAAGAACACCATTATTGAGGTGGGGGAAGAGGGAGCAGGGGCAACTCTTGTACTAAATTTGGTAGGGTCTGTATTTCTGCATCTATGCCTTGTGTGTGAGAAGCTTAAGACCATCGATAACTCAAATTGAGAATTGAGTCTTTTCCGGAAAGTAAATATCCTTCACGATTTGTGAAGGGTTTTTCTTCATTTCTTCTCATCCAACGATAGCACTTTAATAAGTCAATGAGAAATTGAAACTGCAATTGCTGGAAAGCATGCTGGGTTTTCGTGGCCCCCTAGCCATTTATGGCACCTAAAATGTTCATTATAATTATTTTAAAGTATGCTGATCTCATCTGACGGAAATTAGCTGGATTAATCAATGACCTGTTGATATTTGGAGAAAGAAACTTGATTTGAGAACTAGATCGTAGAAATCTGATGAATAAAATGGCAAGTGAACATAGAATAATGGAATTATTTAGCTGCCTTAGTCCCAATACTATGGAAACTGGATCAATTGGGACAACAAGACCATGCCACCATTTCACTGCATTACATCCCTCCATCACCATGCCAGACATGGATCGTTAAGAGCCACGAATGGAGGTGAATGAAATGAGCAATTCATTCGATTATTTGTACTGGCTGCTACGTCAATTTCCCTTTTTCTCCATGTTTTAGACGTGATTTGCAAGATAAACATCATGAGCAAACCTTGGCAAGGAGAACCATTTGTATCCGATATATGTCGTTAGTGCCATGTTCATATTCTTAATATTCCAATACTTCACCTTGACATCTTTGTCTTTGTCCATCATGTTGGCGTAGACGAGCATTTTCGGGTTTGGCGTCAAGGCTTGGTCATAGAGCCAAGGGAACATGTCCTTCCATGTGAATTCCTTGAAGTCCGTGTTCACCCCCTCTCCCGTCATGTATGTTACCTTCAGTCAAGATATAAATGAGTGTCATCCATTTTCATCCATAAAACGAGATGCACTTCCGAGATGCCATGGAACTCACTTTGATATGACGGTCAAGAAGCCAGTTGAGCTCGAAATCAGCATCATCTTCCCCGTATGGATCGATGAGAGACTCGGCCACTTTCAGCCATCCGACATATAAGACCAACTGATGGGGCAGGAAGGGAAATGGGGAAGGAAGAAAAAAGTTATTATTCTTGTTGCAGTGGGATCTATGCTATTCTATTTTCATAAGTTCGTGTCATAGTCCAGGTTACCAGGAATACAGATGTGATGGGAAAGTAGGTGTTGATGTCATCCTTTTCGCTGTAGTCACCAACTATGCTTTGACTTCCGAGCGCCAAAGCACAATAGTAGCTGTAAGTGGCAAGTGTCACCACCTGAGGAGACAAACCGCATTCTTAACAGATGCTGTTTCCTTTAAAAAAAAAATGACATCATTAATGATGTATTATTACGACTAGTTTCTATAAGTGATACTATTATGCAGATGGACTTCTTGGCCCGAAGCGGTACCGTCTCATCGACAAATGAAATTCCTTCCTAGAAGAAATGTATATTTTGGGAACTGTTGCTGAGGATGTAAAGTCATAATTGAACCTGTGAGTAGACGATCGGGACTTGTATGAATTCCACATGTTGACAGAGGGCACACGTCCGCCGAATACCGTTGACGGCATCGACGATGCCTCGGAGACCCAAGTCGCTTTCGATCCGATTCTCCATCCTTGCTTGAAGGGCGATTCTCGTCGCCCACATGTGCGGGATCCAGAACATGGATCTCAACGAATCTCCTGCCATCACTTCCATCATCCGTCTTTCACCTTCTTCCAATAGCCCTTAATGCGAGAAGTGATAAACAAGATCAAGAACAAGAGTGCAAAAACTTACACTCTGAACGTTTTTTACACACATATTAGTGTTTTTATCTAAAGTTAGGTAACTTTCCGTTTCGCAGGATTTCATACCAACAACATTGAGCTTTCTCCAACTATTTAAACACCTTTTCAACAGAGCAAGGGGCGAAATTCATTGATTTTTTCAACCTATTAGCATTGAGCTAGCGGTGCATTCAGAAAGTATGAATTCTGAAGAAGTGAAACTCCATGCTCAAGTTTTAGCAAAAGTTTCCTGGTTGCGTGAAAACATTTCTTTGAGCATTTTTTTTTGCATGAAGAATTTTATGACTGAATATAAAATCCCTCAGACGGAATAAACGATGAGTAACGAATACTCCCGAAGAGTGGGAATTTCGCGTGATTTAAATTTTTTTACTATCTCAATAAAGCGTTCAATTTGTAAATTGCCTTTCCTCGATACTTTAGAGAGCACGGCGACTTTTTATATATAGATTGGGGTGTCGTGATTGCATGTCAAATGCTCAAAAGAGCATTTGAGCATTTCGATTGAATCCACGAAACTGACAGCGTAGTACAACTGACAGCACAATAGAAATGGGAAGAGCACAAGCCGTAGAACTATTTCCATTCCTCTTAGATGTTCTCACCTGCTTCAACGAGGCTTCTCATGGACGGGAATCGTTTCCTGACCCGACTGCTGAAGAACCTCATGCAGCAGATAATCCCCAGGTTCACGTGTCGCAGGATTGTTCTTCTCATCAATTTCGATCGCTCGTCCTGTGGAATTGGCATTTACCTTGCGTATTCTTTTCGATCATGACCAAAACATCATCGCAATTCGATCAACATGTTTCGATCTGGATCTAAGTATTGTACCCAATATCTGATAACTCTATCATCATAACTTTGATGATAATTGACGTCACGCTCCCGCTATCCCCATAGGTCCCGCTGTCGTCTGTCGTCAAAGATGGTCCCTTACCAAATTTACTATTTGTTCCGTGTGTCTTTCACGTGGACAGTTGCTCCATTGTATATTTCACGCGAGGTTATAATTAATAGATTAAAACAGAGGCGACGACGAATTCAATCATCTCTGGCCCTTCTCCCAGCCTAGGTGTCTTTCTTCTAAACATTTCCATTTTCGAATAATGCTTGGGTACGCTTGGCAACTCGTATTCTTATGAGACCTGTAGATTTATGAGACCCTCTAGTCTTATGAGACCTGTAGTCATCGATTGAGAAAAAGCGCCTTACACAAGGCCTATTACCATCACAACTCTCTTCTATCTTCCGATCCTTTTTCATAATAAAGACAGAGGTCTCGGTCGATAACTGCTGCGCCATGTCTCCAAACAGTCGAGGTGGTCAAGTTAGATGTCGCTCTCAATTATGATTGATCTCATTTCAATTACGATTTCGATCTAAGTATAAAATTCCGATTGGTTAATGGGGATCCTTGAGGTCTATCGAGTTATGATGATCGGAGCTATCAGTTATGCTAGGTATGGTTTTTGATCATTATCGAGTTATGATGATTTTTCGAACATGCTTTAAAGACATACTTAGGCAGGGTGAATGTGAGAGGCGTATCTGAAGATTTATGCATCAGGAGGACATCCAGGATAATGTTGGATTTGCAAGGAGGGGAGGGGGTGGGAAAACGCATATGACAAAATGTATATAGTGGGAATGCGAAATGACGGATGCATTACCCTCTCGTTGCAATAGACCCAGTAAGACCGAATCGGCAATAGAATGCTAAGCGAATGGCAAGAATCCCCCTTGCCGCCTTAGCGACGTCAATCCCACCTTAATGACTACAAATAACAGCTTCGCGCCGCAAAGGCGTCATGGTAATTGGAATATGCATGATATGGCTTTAAATTGATGGCTTCCAAGTCGTGTCACATCGACGATATAATGGGAAAATGAAATGACGTCGTTGCGGGAAAATACTACAAAGAAAGTGAATTGTTTGCAGTAGGATAGCATAGCATTCACGGTGAATATCAGGGGCACACTGGGAGGCTTTTCTCGGTTCTCTGCTCTCCAATTACTGCAATGAATATAGCGTCAGGTTTGCATTTTTTCTTTCCATCCTAGCCACTGGGTAGAAGACACTGCTACTCGGAGTCATCAAGTCGAGTCGGAGCTCTGGCGTTCTGGATAAATGATTACAAGGACTCTCTTCATCCCAATGATAGATATCTGACTGCCGGAACCGTCAAATGAATGAGGAATAAGGAAGGCAAACTGTATTTATAAATTCTAGGATGTAAACATTGTTCTTTGACTCCCCTGCACACCTCCATTTGGATGAAGAAATGAAGGCGATTCAACACCAGATAGAAAACCATTAGTTTGAATGTCTATGGGTTAAGCGTTTAGGACCATTCGAATTAGATGAGTGCAAGCGTAAAGGTCTTTCCAGACTTTGTGCTTACTGCGTGTGGCAAATCAGTAATGCATGCGACATACGCGTTGGCGCACGTCCGCTTTCTTTCCGTCAAAACAAGAGTCTCCTACGTTCACGCTATCATGTTTCCAATTTACGACGTGCGTGTGGACGAGTTCGGACTCACTCACATTTCCTTCCAACTTGAATGAGCATTTGTGTAAGCCCATCACCCGGAAGAAACGCTAAGTGCGAAAGGGTCTTCTGATTGTAGGGGAAACAGGCACGATTTTAATGAAGCTACAGAAGAGTGTAACTTTCGCCGGTGAAATACCGAATCCGGCCGATTATGTTTACCATGAGATCCTCCTGAACATTTTAATAGCATACCTGAATCTCGCGGCAAAAATCCCTCCGTAAGTGGAACTCAAGCTTCACCAATTCTTTACCACAGCTTACAAATGTGAGACGCGTCATAAGATGAAAGGAACATTAAATATTTTAGTAGAAAATGTTTCATGTAAAATGATCTTGTGACCTCGTAGACAGCACGATGACATCTCGAGACAAGATCAGGTTTCTTATCGAACTCGTTGAATGTTCCTCATTCGTTCCCAACGAACCCGCATTACCCATTCCCATTATCCAAACATTTCCTTGGCATTTTGCCACATCGAGCTACATATTTCAGCATTATGAGCTATAGAAATTCCTAACAGCAACAAAAAATACACGACGTTGCACAAAAGGTTACCTTATTCCCAGAAGCCACTCACTTTCCAGTATCTTGAAAGTTCCTTGCGCACCCGGGATATGAGGGATTAAAATGAACAAGAGAACTCATTTTTATCGTAATGCCCGGTGTCCTTTATGAGATATTGTCCTGAAAATACTCACGCTAGTTCTACCTTGGGATTTTCGACAGCATACGTAAGTTAATGGCCTCTCCGATGATCGGCCATATCATAGAACACAATGCAGTTGCACCTGAAACACGATCCCTCGATCATGAAGTTAAATGGTGTGATTTTCGCATTTCAGGCGTTTTAGGCCTCTTCACGATTCTTCGCCAAGATGCGAAGAGACGAGAACGCACAAAATGTGGGCCAGTAAGGCTCAATACCAAATCATTTTGTACCTGTCCATTGAGGTAAGTGGTGAGATAGTGGATGACGTCATCTGGCCACGGTAAGGAATTCCACAGTCCCCACCACCGATTAAGGACCGTGGTAACGTAGAAGCCAAGGACGAACACGAACGTCGTTTGGATAATGCTTGTGAATTCCCGACATAAAACCACCATCTTCTCGAACACACTGCGAACGTTAAAATTCCCTGGCTCTTATGTACGTGGAAGCCGTGGAAGACTGGGAACCATGTTACAGTTGCGTTTCGGAAAAAAAGAATAATAAATTCATAAGTAGGATTGCACTCACTCTTTTTGAGTCTTATTCAGTATACATCGATAGATGCCACTAAAGGTATAGAAAAAAAGGAGCCAGATGATGATATCCAATCCAATCAGCTTGTAGATACTCCCCTTCCATCTAAAATAAATTTCGTGTTCCAATTTTGCAATAAAAAAATATGAGGATTCAATTCGAGGAAATGCTTACCTAAACAAAAGCCCGGTGATGCCCACAATGCGAGTCCCGGAGGAAAATTTTGCTGCTTTCTCGGTGCCCATCATGAAGAGTTCCAAAAAGCTGCAGAGTTATTAGTCCTCCCGACATCAAAACCGTTCTGCAACCGCAGCTCACTCGGACTTGCGTGTATGCCGAGCGGAGGAACGATATTGACCAGGATTGATTCTTACGCGGACTTCCCTTGTGCATTAACGACTGGGGTGCCTTCACTCACTTGCGCCTATTTATCTTTTGACCGCACGCATCGAGAGAGTGTAGATATGGTGTAGGGAGCTTGCTTGCCAGGTCATGAAAATGCCTTCCCTCTTCCTTTCTGGCGTCTTTTTTGGCATGATATTTCATCCACCGTGTGTGACTTGAAATTTTTATCATTTACATGTACTACATGCAATGCGTCGGCCATTATGGATGGGACTGTCACAAATAAATGATCAACGGTCCATCAAGACGGTCCATCCCATCGTTGTCGTGCTGTCACGGAGTGTAAATCGCATTCATATATCTCACGTTGCCCGGATAAAATCTTGCCAGAATCTTTTCTTTCGGGGTCCGAATCCAAAATGAAGCGCACAAGAATAGTTCGAGTCGATAGTGTTACCTGGCAATCACATAACCGAGGAAGATGGTTTATTTGACATCCCACTTGGAATTATTACCATTCCAGAGATAGACTAACCATATAATCATGTTATCATTGACGTCTTTAATTTATCACGTTAGCGACATGCTTAACTTAGTATTCCTGAAACTCCCACACGGACGTGCAAAATGGTATTACTGGATTTCTGGTAACATCACTCGTTTGATGGAATGCGAAGATGTAAGCCGTGTTGCAACTTGAGTTTCCTTGTCCGTGGCGTATATGCAATTTTCCTCGACCACGCCCCTTCGCACTCCTCAACAGGCTTTGGACCGGTCCGTTCGGCAATCGAGTTTCAGGTTGGGTGCAGGTGAGCACTTCGCCCGTTCAGTAGGCGTTCAGTACAATGTTATTCTTATTGCCGAAATTTGGCCTTACAACATGAAAATGGGACTATTTTTTCTTTACTTTTGATCCAAGAAGAATCACCTCCAGTCATAAGCCTTCGATTTACATCTCATTCCTGAAAATACGTCCCAGGCTATTTTATTTGTTTATTCTATATGTTATTTGGTATGTTCAAAATGTTGATATTATATATGAAAAGCAATAACTGCGGAGGCCAAACGAGCAGAGTTAAGTACAATAAAAATCGGTGAGTTGTGAAAATGACCTTTCTGATAGTTCAAGCGTCAAACAATAACAACTTTACAACCAGTGTCATAATCCTCTGGTCGAATGCATAATGATGCATGATGCACAACACATCATTTTTATGTCCAGAACGTCTACTCGTATATAGCAATGATAAGACATAATATGATGATAAGATATAGGGCCTATGGGACTCTTGTCACGAGAACGGACAGGGAGAATCAAAGGGGAGTATTAATCTTTCTCTCTATGGTAGCGTGCCGCACGAGTAGATCTTAATCTCGAAAAGACATTGTGTTCCACTTTCCTTATGCAGAGTTACCTTAGGGAATTCCCAAGGGAGGGACGGAGGGACGGAAAGAAGGCTAAGTGCGTTATCAGACGGTGATGCTCTTATTTATTTAATGTACAAGAAACGCTTTAAAAAAAAGTTCACAGACTTCCTATCCCTATTTGCGGCAAACAAGAAAGAGAATAAAGTTTTGGAAAATATAAAACAAATCCATGACAACAGGCCTCTCCAGGGGGAAAAAGTAAGAGGTAATGGGGGATATTACATGGATCAAGAAGTAAGGTGCACTTTTCCATCAACTTGACAAATGTCAAGATCAAAGGTCGGAAAGTAGTCGCGGGAGATAACATCACATGTCAATTCCAGTCTCACTCACTCAGGGAGTTATTAAATGCTGAATGCTAAGCATGGGAATACAGAAGTGTACGGGAATAGGGAGGGTAGAATGCATAAGTTCTCACATAGTTCTCATATCTATGAAGTAATGTGAAAACCAATTTTCAATGGCTTTCCGTTTTTCCAACCCCCCCCCCCCCCCCTTACTGGACTCATTAACGTTAGGCTTAGGCCTAACCAACAGACTGCCTTCAGATTATGCTAAGACTTCTTTTTTCCTTTTCAAACTTCACGACTTACGGGCCAATTAGGCCTATAAGAGTGAACCCGTGGGCTTCGAGACATCTTGAGGACGTGTAACGTTAGGTCAATCACAGAGATATACATACTTTCGCGAACCATTTTAGAAGACGTGTATCGTTAGACGGGTTTGAGACCTGTTTCGCGTTTCATGAACCATTTCAGTGGGAACGTGGAACATTAGGCCTATCTGGGGTTTCTCGAACCATCTGGAATAGATCGGAGGAGGGAATGCCTCCAGGAAGCAAGAAACCGATGGGACGCGCCATCCTGGCGATTCAGGGATGTCCGGATAAGATATCTCCATATCCCATCACATCGATCAATCACTGCTAACCACCGCTTCATTCTCAGCTCAACTCCTGAATTCATCACAAGATATCTCTTGCATAAGAAAGAAGATCCCGACGCCGATACGAATGAAGTAGTAGTCTTGAATCTGGCATAATTTCTGCATGATATCCGGTAACACTGGGAGACGGTACCGGAGTAAGTACTCAAAGGCTAATTGAACGAAAGCTAATTTCATTTTTATGACGAAATGAAGCATTGCAAACAACAAAAAAGCCACTCTTCTTCATCTATGAGTCAATATCTTTCTTATGGTTTGTCTCTTTCCTCCGAAAACCTCCCAGGAGTGTCTACCAGGGGGAATGGAATAAAGAAGAAACGAAATGATCGAAAAGCAAGATTCAGGGATCTTCAGAACCCTGAGGAGATGGCGCCTCAAATTTGCTAGAGCAGGGTTGTGCAACCTTTATAGGCAGTGGGCCATATGGAAGGTCTGACTCTTCACGCGGGAATGCAAAAGAAAAGGCTCCCCTCATTTGCCCTTAGGGCATATGAGGGCATAAGATCGCGCTGATTGGCCGATGACCCTTACAACCACACCTCTAGGAAATTCTAACGCCCAAAATCAGCCTTTGGCATTGAGAACCTTCTTCCTTGAGACATATGTAGCCCCTTGAGGTATAATTAGGGCATGAAAGTGAAAAGACTCAATCTACCTTTAGTTTAGTTTCTAAGGTATTACCGAAGTTGTGATGGGCATTGGGCCACAGAGAAACTTATTTTATCTGTTATCCATTACCGGGCCGCGGGTTGTACATCCCTGAGCGATTCTGTGTTGCGAGAGGAAGAAGCATGCCAAATTCCGTTCTTGTTGATTCTCTCAGAGAGGAATACGAGGAGATTGAATTTTGTGGAGGGAAGGGATTGAAGGAAGGTAATAGGCGCTACGAAAGCCTATTGATGCAGGAAATAGTTGCATCAATACCAGATGCAATATGGTTCGTCATTTCGACTTCTTTTCCTCTCGTGTAGCTTCTGGATACCTGTAGGAATCACGATCGGCTTGGATTAGAACGAAAAAACTCCTGCAATCTTAGAAGGAGGCAAGCGTGAACCAGTCAAGCGAGTAAGACGAATATATTCGTCATAGGATTTTCATTGCTCTTTCTATTATGAGTTTGACTCATGTCTGTGACACTCGCGGCCAGCTTTTGTAGACGAAATTTCCATCGGGAGATGACGAGAAATGCCCTTTAAGAGGCCGTCGTTGGTCATTTGCATTTTGTTTTCTGTTTCATCACCTTTGAAGGCATCATGGCGTCACCTCTAAGGTTGAATGCGACAACGGAGAAAATTTGAAAAAGTGCCTAGCAAAAGCCAAAAACTGCCTATTGGAGAGGGTTACAATGACTAAATTTATGCATGCCAAGCAGCGTGTTTATGTAAACATGATATACATTTTTTGCGAACAGTGTCAATTTCTTGCGATTGTCATGCAAATGATTTCACATTCATATAAAATGTACATTCCTATATGTACATAATCAATTAGATGTGTATTTCATATGAACTTTATGACTACACCTGAAATAAAGTACATAATACATATTTACAGAAAATCAACCATCATCCATATAAAATTTTAAACATTCAAATTTTATCAAACAGAATTTTCTTTATCCCTAATGAACATCGCATTTTTCTTGTTATGCTCTTCAGTAGGGATTTCATGTTCGCTGCATGGAGTCCATAGACTAACATGCATTATAAAAATTTTCCATGAAAACGTACTCCTTCCCGATCTTTGTTAAAGTAATTTTTTGCCATCTAATGCAGACCCCTAGCTTTCTGCGAACGGACAAGAGTTGTAGTTAGGAGACTCGACTCAGCACCTGTTTTCTCATGTGTGTTTCGGGCCATGGATTTTTGAGCACTTCCCCCCTGAAGTTCGGTTTCGGTGGGTTAATCAGTTTTATTTTTATTGCAGTGTTGTCGAGAATCAAAGTTGCTCTGACATATTCATCTCGACATGAAGTTCGTTTGGTGCTACTCAACTCAATTTTCATGTGCTGTTCAACAAATTCATTGGTGAAATTTCCCAGACATTTATGAGTAATAGCCACCCCCTTGAAAGACTTTGACCTTAGAAGAGAGACTCGGGGATGGTTATGAAAGCATTTACGATTACCTCGAACCTCATTCTCGCAGGTTCAAGGGCGAAGTGGAAGCCATATCAAAATAAACATAGATTAAAACCGCCTCATCGCATGAAATATGTATAGGAAAAACACAAGCATCATTACGGTACCTATGACTTGGGTCCCCGAATGAATACCTATTGAATATGCATCTGCTTGGCCGGCAGACAAAAACCGACTTTTTCAACTGTTCTTGTAGAAGGGCAGAGCTGAGAGATGGATGCAAAAAATCGAAGAGACGGACACCTGGAACCTGATATTATTCAGTTGTTCTTTAGAGAGAGCTAGTCACATTTCTTTCTGAGGACCACACGTTCCCGTCAAACGACTGTCCCTCTCGCTCTATACGCCTGTGCTTCCAAGGATGGACGAGCCCCCCAATGCCTTCTTGAACATTCATGAATACGGGAAGCATTATGGCCTTTATTTGCAAATCATTTAATGAGAACCTGTTGTACCTTTTTGGAAAAATTACCCACATATTTTCAAATTATTCGACCAACTAAAGTAACTGTAGCGATTTAGGAACGCCATAACAAAGCTTCCGTTAGCGCAAAATAACAATAGATTTAAAGCACTACTAAAAGTCAATGA